TGACTTGTCTCATGAACAGAAGATCACAACAAGCCTGGCTGTAGTAAGCCGGAAGGATTTGGGGTGAGCTTTTGCTCTAGTTATCTTTAGGCTCTAGAAAGCATGGGATGGTTCTATTTTATATGTAACCCTTTGTTTCCAATATTTCTGCTTGCTGTCACTTGAATCTCTGTTCTTTGTTACATAGATTTGTTTATAGAGAAAGCAAGTATAAGTTTAAGTGCTGTGTGTTAAGCGGAGCTGTGTTCTGCAGTGGAACTGGCAAGCTGTGGGGTCCTGTTTCTTTGGGAGTAGAGGATCTGAGAATTCTGGGAGTGTCCATTGGATCAAGAGCTCGACACTGCAGCCAGATGCTCGGATGTTGGTGTATGCCTATCACTAGCCTGGAGAGGGACAGCAGAGCCTGTATAGACTGAGAGAGCAGTGCTTGTGCTGCCTTTAGCTGGGAGAGTTGGGGAGCTGGCCCCTGGCAGGCACAGACAAGGCTTTCTCATGCTAAGGGCAGGAGGTAGTGAGGTGCCTCACAATCTGGGTCCCCCCAGAAAAATGTCACACCATCTTTTGTGCAAGTTAAGGCATGTTATGAGCATGTCTGCCAGATGACACCCTGAAGACAAGATAATTGAGGGAAAGGCTGACTTGTGAATGCTACAGGGGCTTAGGTGTGAGCTAGGTGATGAGTGGTGTCAGGATTGAGGTGGTATTGTGCATGGCCAGATGCTGAAATGTAGGCATCTCGTGGGTGTAACAGTGGAAACTTAGGTGCCTAGAGGGTTACATAGCAGCTGAGCAGGGGATTTGTGAATGCCAGTGTACCTGAATGTTGGATTTAGGTGCCTAAAGTGGGAGTTAATCCCACCCTGGTGTCTGGTATGGCTTGGTAACACTTCTGCCCTTTACTTTCTTATTTTTCCATTCTTCCTGGTTTTATTCAGGACCAGAAGTACCAAAATATACTGAGATGAGAAAAGCTGCCCTGGCTAGAATCAGGGAGTAATGCAACTCTTCTAAGAATACCTGAACTCATGCAATTTCTAGCATGATTTCTAGGCCAAGAAGGCAGCTAAACTTCAGATGTTTATTTGAATGGACCCACCAAATTTTCTGAGGTTCATTGATTGCTACACTCCCCACAGCAATCAGAGCTGCCTTTAAGCATCATTTGAGAAGGAAAACTTGCTGAGGCCCTGAAACTAAAGCCAGTGTCACTCCATGACTATCCCACAAGGGGTGACTTGTAAAAGTAGCATGGTTGACCCCATCCCCGACTTATAAAATGAACCGATCAGCCGTGTAGCTCACATGGCTGGTCTAAGGCCTATAATGAAAGTCCCGGTGCTCATGTAACAGAGTGATTCTGTTACCTACTTCACACAACTGGTTTGGAACTGAACTGAAGATGAACAGCTCTCAAATTCAGCTTTGCATATCAAACGAGGACATGAGGGACAGTGCAGGGAGGGAGAAAAAATATTTCAAAAGTCAACAAATGAAGAGGCGTATTGATGCCACCATTTAACATTGAACTACGTGGGAACAAAGGACTTAATGAATCTAAGTGATAGTGCATTAAGGGGTAATGCTCCCCCCTGCCACTGTGGCTACTACAGAAGAAGGAACATGTGGTGGGACTGCTGTGGAGAGGCCAGGCAGGGGTACTGGACTATATGTACCATGGAGCCATTCTCTACGAGTGCAAAAGAAGCAAGCACATGGTGGATCTGCAATCTGTGCAGATACACGTAGTGGGGGAGCAGCGGCCCCCGGCACGCAGTAGCAGTTGCAGAGTTTGGCATTGGCTGGGGCAAAGGGGGTCTCTGTCTACATACATGTGGCTGAGAGCAGAGTCTGCTTCCTTGGGCTGTGCACTCAGTTCTTGAATTTCACACCCCATGTGATGACTAATTTAAAAAGTCATTATCAGTCACGGTAAAGGAGGGGGTGAGGGGATGAAATGAAGCTTTACAATAGGAATGCAGCTAAAGGGATACAATATATCATCATCTCACTAAAGGGGGACTCACCCATTGAAATGGAAATATACTCCGAAAATGTTCCTGGGGGAACTGTCAGAGTCAATAGGCCTAACACTGAACCAAGCCTAAAGATAACAACATTTTAAAATATTTCTTCCTGATCCTGATAAACAATCAGCCCTTCAGAATCACAGCTGCAACCGAGATAAAGCTTCTTAGCTCAGCAACTCACAACAAACAAAGGGCACTGGACTGCTTTTTTTAAATATTATCAGCACATGTGCACACCACTCCATTCCTCTGCCCTGGCCAGCCTCTCTCTTGTGCCTGGTCCACAGAGACTGTGTCTAGTACAGCCCCCAGCTACAGAGCCTTGGTTGTTTAGCTCAGGCTTTCAGCTCTGAAGGCCCCCAGTTCAGTCTGGCTGTCAATCAAGATGATGGCCATCGCACATAGACACTCCTCCCCCCTGCTGATAGGATGCTCTTAACTTTAAAAGTTCATTGCATCCATTTCATGCAGCCTGGCAGCCTGAAAGTTCACAGGGTCAGAATTGCTTCTCACCAGGAATAAACTGTGAAATGTGTATGAAAATAAGGTTTTAAATTACAAGTGAGATTTCTGATCTGACTACTGCAAGGGATAGACTAGATTTATATAGTGACAGAAAATAAGGACCAGAGTCAGAGCTGAGGAGGAGGGACCCAAAGCCACCTAGCTGTTCACTCAATCCTGAGGCTGCCCTGGCACCAGGCCAGTCTTCAGAATAGGCTGTGCTAATCTATGCCAGGTGCCACAGCTCCCAGAAATCTTTCTGGCAGCTGCAAAATACCAGGGTCCAGGGATCCCCCAAACACACTCCATTTTTCCTTGGCTATTCCACTTACACTGGTGGGCAGGAGAAGGGGTGGTGCAGAAGCAGTTGTGTGGGTCTATCTTCCCCCACCCCCAAGGACCCCTTACACATGGGCAATCTTCACGGAGCTGGATTCTCCAGGTTTAAGGCAACTTTGTGCCGTGGGGCAGGGCAACCCACAGTAGGGCCTGACCCTATATATACAGTCTCTAACACTGGAATTCCAAACTATAGATGTCAATTTCCAGCAACATGGGGGATGTGCCGCTGTATCAGTCATAGCTAAACTCTGTATTGTCAGATCCATTACCCAGTTTATTTCTACCTGTTTTCTTATATTATGAATTAATATTCAAAGCACACAATTTTAAACACACAATACATAAATATAGTCACTTAGTAACAAAGCATATATCCAAACACAGACAGTTTCTGATGCATTCAATGCAGGATCAAAGTAGGGAATGGCAAACGGTGTTTTAAGCCACACTTGTAGCCCCCAAATTCTGGGACTGGTGATCAGCTGGGGATAGGTATGGGGGGGAAGAACTGCGTAAGCCAGGGACATGCAGCAGGTGGGACATATTGGGTGATGACCAACCAGTGGCGGCAGGGTTGAGAGAGAGAGAGAGAGAGAGAGAGAGAAAACACACCTTGCCCCACCACCACCACCAGCAGCAACCACACACAGAGTCCCCAGAGAAAGTTCCAGGCTATCCTGGGCCTCTTTTGCTTTTCCCATACCTCTCCACTTTGCATTAGGGTTCCTTCAGGAAGGGAATCTATGGTGCAACAGCTCCCAGCGCAGTCCAAACATTTGGCTCCAAGAGAAATGCGGCAGAGCCACATAAAGCCCACAGCTGCCCTCTGCTCCCCATGGACACTCCAAGATTCATGTGTGGGTCTGGTGGGGGAAGACACTTGCTTTGTTCTTCAGGAGGCCAATCCCCACCTCAAGCAAGAGTACAAAGCGGGTACCTCATGGAGTTTTCTGTCCCTAGGAAGATGTTACTGGACAGCAGCACCTTCTGAAACTGCTTTTATTCAGTCCTCACACAGGCAAACACAACCTGAATTCAATAGTTTTGTTTGAATAAAAACTCAGAATTTGGCTCACTACTATCGGACTATCAGACTATACACTCTTTGGGGCAGGGCCTGTCTTTTTGTCTGTGTTTGTACAGCGCCTAGCACTGTGGAGTCCTGGTTCATGTCTGGGGCTCCTAGGCACTGATGCAATGCAAATATTAATAAAATCCTACTAATAATAAATTAATAAAGTAAAGCTCTGGTCCAAAGCCCAGTGAAGTTAATGGGAGTATTTTCATTGAGTAAAAAGGGTTTTGGATCAGGCCCAAGTCCTTATGATTTAACTTTTAAAAAGTGTTTTAAAATGCAGTTAACCTTTGAAAGCAACACACTTAACACCTAGGATTTTATCTCCATCCATTGTAAACCATGTGATTAGCTCTATCTAGTCTATACGTGCCATTACCTGCTGGTATTATTACCGTATGCTGGTTAAGCATTCATTGGCTAGGCAATAGGGCTATAAAAAAATTACATTGCAGTGTTTGACTGATGAGTGATTAAGTACATAGCAAAGTACAACTACCATGCTTCAATATTACCAGTTTATTTCCTTATTTAACTAACAGTAAATGACCCAATAAACAACAACACTTGACATAATTTATCTAAAAATACCCAAACAAAAACCTCTGAAAATTTCAGGATGGGGGGATGAGGTTTCAGAAATGGAGAGCCTGATCCACTGAAGTCAATAAGAATCTTTCTATTGACTCCACTTGGCTTTGGGTCAGGCACTTACAATAGTTTTGGAACCCTTTATTATGAAGCTACTGAATGTGTTTTAAATGCCGTGACCTGCTGGTGTTAACTGTTCATGGTGATTTTAGTTTATACATACAGCCTCGCTCAGGGGCTGAGTCTGATCTCACTTACTCCACTCTCACACCACCAGGTTTTTACAGTCAGCTCCACTGACTGCAGGAGAAGTGCTGCAGATTTGCCATGGTGTGAGGCACCAGAGACACACCTAAAAGCCTTGGTTTCACTTTCTGAAGGTCACTTTAGCTCACTAAAAAAATAAAACCAGAACTGATTTCTTCAACAAGATCTTTCAAACTTTTCAGACAAAATCTCACATTCAGTTGCTCACGCTATCCTCAGCGGGACCGCAGAATTATTTCCTTGCCACTCCCCAGGTTACTTCAAAGGAGGCAGCATAGTAAAGCACAGTGCTTTGGGGCATGTTGCTGGAATCTGAGGAGAAATCATTGGAAGTAATCCAGTAAATCAGAGCATTCCAGGAAGATTTTGGCTCTGTTTAGGACAGAGCAAACAGGTCAAGAGCTATTAACTTAGCATCCTTTGGGACAACAACGAGATATTAAATGTATTGTGAAAGGTGAATGCTTCTTTCAGTCAATGGAACAATACTTGTGTACTGATTAGGGCATTTAATAGTGCACCAAATGAATAGTGAAAGGGAAATAAACATTGCATTTACCAGTTCCACTTATGGTTACATTTTCATAACCATGTTTTACAATCCACCAAAAGAGGCAGAGAGATCTTTGTACTCCAGTATGTAACAATCTTTAGCAGTATTCATTCCCAATTACTTGTTTGGATGCCATTCGGTTGTTTAAACGGTCTCTTTGTGCTTTAAAGCTTATATGTACGGCATATAAAATTAAATTAAATTAAACATACCTTCTTCTAAGTACGGGAAGGAAAAGAACAAAACTCCATAGACTCCACCATGAATCTCTCTATACACATCTAATTTTCCTATGTAGCACTTAGGTTCTGACCCAAAGCCCACTGACATAAATAGGAGTCTTTCCACTCTCTACAATGTGCTTTGGGTCAGGCCCTCATATTGTAGAGTCATTGGCTCTAGAGAAAAACCTAAAATATTTATGTGTATTATAGTAGTGCCTAAAGAAGGGGTGTGGAAAAGAAAGATATTTTCTAGTTCTCTCTTCCTTTCTCTCAGTTTGCTGTGGTGATTTCTTTTTTAAATTAAGATGAGTGGTTTCATAACATCATTTACTCTTCTCTCTTTAACAGGCTGTCTGTTGAGAAAGTTTGAAAAACATCTAAACCCACTAAAAATCAGGAAAGCTGTTCATGTACAATATATAATTACATGTTATATTTTAATCTCAGTACATTATCTTTCAAACTATATCTTGTTTCACCAGAAGGAAAAAACATTATTTTCTAAAATTAACCTCTCAAAGGTCTTCTAGATAATTTTTGTGGAAGTGTTTTAAATACACAGCTCTTTCTTGGAAACTTTTACAGAATAATTAAGGATTTGAGACAGGGAATATGACTGGATATATGTTGACACTACTACACAAACTGTCAACTAGACCCAAAACTCTTACCCCTTTAGGGTAAATTCTATTTTCAGTTACACTAATGTAAATCTAGTTTAGTTTCACTGAAGTCAAAGGAGTTAGTCTGTATTTACACCAGTGGAACAAGGAGCAGAATTTGACCATCAGTTTTGGGAATTTAGGAACAAAAACTGCATAAGAACTTAAAGATTTGGCTTGTGAAGAACAGCCTTCATCACTGGTAACTGTACGGTATATTACAACATTGAAAGGGGTTATTTTCCCATCAATACACATGTATGCAGTAACTCCCATATTCATATGAATAAGAATTACATGTATGCATCAATTGGAGATTAGACCTTTCAAAGTGAAATACTGTTGAAGAGAAAGAAAAATCCTTAAGATACTTGTAGTCTTTTCCATATCCTTGTATTAGCAAAATATTACATGTACCAATTGTAGCAGATCTTACCGACAACCCTACAAGCCCATCCAGCAGCATCAGAGTAGTGCATTGCTCTACCATGTTTCAAACTCCAAATCAGCTCTTCACTCTGGGGCTGAGAATGTAGCAGAAGCCGTATGCTTAGCCACTGGGAGGCAGAGAGAGCCTCTGCGTCATTCTCTAGCAATCTCTATACTAATATGGGGAGTACTTGCATCCAGCTATCCTCTGCTGGAAGGGCAAGACAATCCCTGTAACATGAGAACCATAGCAGGGATGGGAACTGGAGTGAAGACACAAATGTGGTGAGCTTTGGGACTGTAACAGGGACCAGGAGAACTCCCTATTTGGTGTGTGGGAGGACACTGTTATTTTAAACGCACAAAGTATTTTAAAACTTATACAGACTACACTACATCTTTTACGAAGTCCTCATAAACACTCTCGCTGCAAATATCAGTGAAAGTAATGTACTTTTGGTACATAAAGTTGCCTTACCCTAAGCACCTAGCTCCATTAAAACCAGCATAATTATCCTGTTATAATAAGGCAGGTATTTTAAAGAGGCTGTAGTGTGATTTTTTAATTGTACATTATGTAACCACCACTAAAGTATCAGACCTTAGAGTACTCTAAACGGCCAACTCCTCACCACATTATGATATTTAAATGATGTGTTCTAAAGCTGATTTCTAGTAAAACTGGAATAAATTATTTTTCCTTAATAACTGTTACCACAACTCCACCAAGTGAACGAGATTTGCAAGGCTTGATTTCAACATGGGAAGTATTAATCTAACATTTCTGATCCTACCACTTTTTCAACTAATAATCTATAGAACACGGATGAAATTTAAATCTTTACCATATATTTGCATACATAAACTTTAAACTTGTTTACATGCTAAGTACTCACAAAGATTGTTTTAAACAGGTTCATATTTTATAGGAATGTATTACTTGTTGTGAGGGAAATTACAACACAGGGCCTATTCTGAGGATTTAAGTGGTGCAAAAGACTTGTGCTGACCGTCTGGGAAAAGGTGAATTTCATCCGGTGAAAGTTGCAGAAATGATCTTTTTCTAATGTATGTTATTATGCTGGTTACATAGAACCAATTCAGGATCTGATCCTGCAATCCCTGAGTCAAGAGGGGTTTGACAAATGGAATGCTTGTAGGACTAGACTCCAAGACTGTATGTTATAAACAAGAGTAAAGAAATTTTGCATATTTAGGCACCAGGACTCAAAAAAATGGACCTTTGTCTGGATAACAAGAATAGTCAGTTATAATATAAGGAATAAAAAAAACCCAAGAGTTTTGAAGGGTTATTATAAACTCTCTCTCTCTCTCTCTCTCTCTCTCTCTACTACTAAATGGGTTTAGAAAGAAACTTCCTCCATGAGTAAATTATTCTATAACTGCCTACTGCAGGGGCATTTTAAACCTTCCTCTGAAAATATCTGAAAGTAGCAGGGTCAGCATGCTGAACTAGATGGGCCATTGGTCCTATCCAGTCTGGTAATTCCAAGAATCTTTTGAAGTGCTAAGCACTTCTGAACATCAGACACTCCATAGGTACCTAAAATTAGATTAGGTGTCTAACTTTAAGCACCCAAGTTTGAACATTTATTACTATTTTTAAAATGTTCCATATTAATGTGGCATCAAATTACAAAGTTAGTTAACGCACATTCTGTAGATAATTTTCAAATTATAACCTGGATTTAGAGTATTATTAGAACTCTATGTTTCTGGAAATTTTGGGGAGACTTGTGTAACATGATGGTAGCATTGTGTACCACTGCTATAGCTAAGGGAGTGTTAGTATTAACAATGTAAACTCCTTTGGAGAAGCTTATGAGTGAACTGGAAACGTTCAGTTTGATCTGAACATTTATATAAATATTTCAGCAGAGAAACAATGTTTTTTATTATTGTTACTTTTAATAATTATAATATTTTAAAAAGTCTGGCCAGTTTTAGATTGGGAGGGGAATAGGCAAGAAGGAGCAGTTTAAGGGTGTAATTTCAATGTGACTACAGAATTTCTAAATGTGTCAATGTAAAGAAGAATCTTAGTGCTATTTCATTACTTCCTGCATGTTACTTCTACGTTTAAAAAGCTTGTGCAATATATGAATTATCAGGTTTACAGTCCCACCATTCCTCCCCTCCCCCTAAACCCAAGATGAGATGTGAGGAAACAGCACACAGTAGATCTTAATCCCTTGCATGGCTGCATATAATCAGGCATGATCTGGCCCTAAATAATTTCACCCCAGTATCTGCAGTATTCTACTTGTTCCCTGCAGTAAGTAGAGGAAAATACCAAGGCAACACTATTTATCAAAGGAAAAATAGGCATATTTGTAAGGGTGACCACAGTAGCTGTGCCAAACCCTAAAGGTAACCAGTTCCTACACATTGGCACTAATGGACCTCGCATGACAAACTAATACATCACCTGGGTTGATTCTGTGACACAAATACTAGAAAAAAGCAAGAGAGGTTAGGGACATTCCAGTCCTGAAAGAGTTTTCTTCTCCTCATTACTAGTGACTCTAATTACTTAGAAAAAAGAGAAATGAGATAAATCCTGTAGAGCCAGAAATGTGACCTGATTTCCATCCTCATTTAGAAACTGTTACTTTGCAAGATAAGCCTAAAGAGACACTGTCAGGTCAAAGTGCACCCACAGTTTCAGTTTTGGATGAAAAACAAAACAAAAAAAACAAACAAGCCAAGATTACAGGGTGGGGCAGTTTGTGCTATGATTCAGGTATACAATGTTTTCATCACTTAAAACAGATATTTTCTCCCAATTAAAGAGCCAGAATTTGGAACTAGGAAGCCTTCTGGCCAAAGCCCAGGAATTCAATTCCTGGTGATGCCACAGACTTCCTTTGTGACATCTGGCAAGTTACTTAAACTCACTTTTGCCTTCTGTAAAATGGGGATGATAATACTTCCCTATCTTATAGGAATGTTGCATGCCTGAAACCAGTGGGGCTACTTGTGGAGAAAAATATTCCTCCATGTGAAAAAGGGAGACAGAATCTGAACTGTATGTTTGTAAAGTGCTTTGAGATCCTCAGATTTAAGATGCAATAGAAATGCAAAGTTTTATTATTGATTGCCAAAGAGCAATGGCTCTCAACCTTTCCAGACTACTGTATCCCTTTCAGAAATCAGGTTTGTCGTGTGAACCCCCAAGTTTCAAAATCAGACATAAAAATACAAAATTGTCACAGCACACTATTAATGAAAAAATGTTTACTTTCTCATTTTTACCATACAATTATAAAATAAATCATTTAGAACAGGGGTAGGCAACCTATGGCACGCATGCCGAAGGCGGCACATGAGCTGATTTTCAGTGGCACTCACACTGCCGGGTCCTGGCATCTGGTCCGGGGGGCTCTGCATTTTAATTGAATTTTAAATGCAGCTTCTTAAACATTTTTAAAACCTTATTTACTTTACATACACCAATAGTTTAGTTATATATTATAGACTTATTGAAAGAGTCCTTCTAAAAACGTTAAAATGTATTACTGGCACGCAAAACCTTAAATTAGAGTGAATAAATTAAGACCCGGCACACCACTTCTGAAAGGTTGCCAACCCCTGATTTAGAATATAAATATTATACTTACATTTCAATGTATAGTACATAGAGCAGTATAAACAAATAATTGGCTGTATGAAATTTTAGTTTGTACTGACTTCACTAGTGCTTTTTCT